CAACCGCAACAATGAGCGGGAACAAAATAAAAATAAAAATATACAATTACGCAATCAACAAAGTGACAGCAGGTACTATCAACAACTTGTTTGGTACCAAGCCAGACCTACACTGATAGAAACAATTAATAATATACAAGACATGACTGGAAAGAGCAGGAGAAATCTGGATTGTACAAGAGGACACTGTAATTAGTAACACCACCGAGGTGCTCCGCTAAAACAAAGCAGAGTTACAATGTGACACACTCAACAACAACAACAAAAAAAAAACATCAGAACGACATTATTGTTTCACAATCACATATCAGTTGCAGATGTTGCGATACTAGGAGAGCGGAGTGACGACAAAGATACCGAAAAAATTACAGATAATCTGACAATGCTTTAGCAAAAGGATTTAGTGTATTACAATCAATTACAATGGATGGAAGTCGATTCCATTCACGCGTTGTTCTCGGGAAAAAAGAGTTTTTGAATGTGTCTGTTTTACAGCTAAAATCTTTTATCTTTTTCGTGTGGTGTGATCGTGTCGAGCGCTTACCAACCCGGTCGATAAAATTACTCTTGTCTATTGCCAGCTTATCATGGTAAAGGGAGTACAAAAACTTGAGCCGTTCACGCTGACTTCTCTTTTGCAATGTATCCAGCTCTGATTTTGCCAAGATTGAAGTTACAGATACTTGCCAGCGATAGCAATTATGAACAAACCTGATGCCCTTCCTTTGAACGAGTTCTAGCTTATCAATGTTGTTTTTTGTGTACGGATCCCATATAACTGATGCATATTCGAGGGAGGGCCTAATGAAAGTTTTGTAAGCCAGTAACTTTATTTCTTTGGTTGATTTTCGCAATGAACTTCGAAGGTATCCAAGTTTACGCATGGCTTTATTTGTAATATACGAAATGTGTTCATTCTATCTAAGGTCCGAGGTAAGAATTACGCCTAAATATTTGTACCTTTCTACATTGGAAAGAGTGTGATTATCCAAGGAATATGGAAAGCTTAGGGGATGCTGTTTACGCGTTATTGACATGGCTACCATTTTAGTCTTGTTAACACTCATTTGCCACGTTGAACACCAAGTTTGTATTTTCGCTAAAGAAGAATTCAAAAGAACTTGGTCGCAGCGGCTTTGAACTTCATGATAGAGGATGCAGTCATCTGCGAATAGTCTAATTTTAACTGGTATATCCTGTACTATGTCATTAATGAACACAAGAAAGAAAAGTGGCCCAAGCACCGAACCTTGAGGTATACCGGATATAACTGTCTCTGCTGGAGAGCACGTACCATCAATTGTTACACATTGTCGTCTTAAATTTAAGTAATTTTTTATCCATGACAGAAGTGTATCGTTCTTCAGTATGGGTTGAAGTTTTAAGAGCCGCTTTTGGTGCGACACGCGATCGTACGCTTTCTCAAAATCTAGAAAAATAATATCAGTTTTACCTTGTCTGTCAAGGGTTTTGGCGAGTTCATGTACTGTTTCTAATAGTTGTGTTACGGTAGATAGACCTTTTCGGAAGCCATGTTGCCTGGGGTCAATAAGTTTGTTTTCATCTAGAAATGTTGATAAGTGCTTAAACATAATATGTTCCAATAATTTTGCGCATGTACAAAAGAGGGTGATAGGTCTATATGAAGTAACCAAATGTGGAGTGTTCGATTTAGGTATAGGCGTAATTTTACCGTATTTCCAGTCCTCTGGGATCTTAGATTGGGATAAGGATTTGTTAAATATAAGTTGCAGATAATGTGAGCTCCATTCAGCGTACCTCACCAAGAAGTGGTTATTAATACAGTCTATTCCGGGTGTTTTCTTACGATCAATTTGAAGCAAAAGAGAAAGGACACCTTCCTGGGATATCGAAATGTTGCTTATTGGGGGAATGTTTTCGAACTGATTGACTGAAGGTGTAATAGTGTCATCTTTCGTGAGTACTGAACAGAAGAAGTCGTTAAAAGACGTTGCAATGGTGAGTCGGTCAGTGACGGTTTCCCCGTTAACTACAATGTTAGAAATAGACTTCTTATTTGAGGAAAAATAGCGCCAAAATTTTTCAGGAGACGAGAGAATAAAATTTTTCATAGTTACTTTGTGGTAAAATTCTTTAGCCTTTTTAATGCTTTATTGAAGGCGTTTGCGCATTGACACAAGTTTTTCACTGTTAGGTGGTGATGGAGACTTGCGATGCTGTTTTCTTAATTTTTTTGTCTTTCGTCCCATGCGCACTATTTCCCTTGTAATCCATGGATTAACCCTATGGCTGAAAATTTTTCTGAAGGGCACAAATCGTTCAATGCACGACCAAACAAGTGATTTAAAGAAGTGCCACAAGTCTTCGACATAGCAATCATTTGACTCGGAAAGAGAACAGAATGTTGGAAACGACATGTCTAGAGCGTCAATAATGTCCACATCTTGAGCACGTGAAAAAACTGGAACCGACCGTCGGTATTTCTCTGTTTTGGTGATACCATTTCCAGGGATCGACAAGAAAACCATTTTATGATCTGAAATTCCTTCCATTACTTGTACATCAACGTTTCGACTTGCAATACTCTGGCTAACAATAAAGAGATCCAAGAGTAAGCCCTTGTCTTTCTGAATGCGCGTGGGTTGTTTCACTAACTGCGTTAAATTATGAAAGAGCATAAGGTACACAATGGGTTCCGCCGCACAGACGAGTGGCTGCGGAAAATCACCGGACCAGTCGATGGACGGAACATTAAAGTCTCCAGCTAACAACACATTGCTTGTGTCACATCTGCTAGAACACAGGAACTCATTCAGTTTTTCGAAGAATGTGTGATCACTATTTGGGGGGCGATAGAATGCGCCTACAGACAAATTTAGGTCGTGTAAATAGAGTTTGATAATAACACATTCAACGCCCGGTATATCGGTTTGCCTTATCACTTGCAATGATTGTTTTTCGATAAATCTTGTAGCCGGGTGGTGTAACTTCTTCATCGCTTATATCATAATTTAACCAGTTATTTCAACAAACAAATCTTATGAGTAACATGGCGGATCTTTAGAAAAACGCATGTACCTGCGTTGATGCATGCTTAGGCATAGAACTTAGCATTGACTTAGACTTACCCCCCCCCCCCCCTGTTCACAAGAGCTCCTCGGCTCGATTCCCACCCTTCACTTGACAGAATTTACCGCAGGTCGCGAGTTCTAATCCCGGCTGCGGCGGATGCATTTCCGATGGAGGCGGAAATGTTGTAGGCCCGTGTGCTCAGATTTGGGTGCACGTTAAAGAACACCAGGTGGTCGAAATTTCTGGAGCCCTCCACTACGGCGTCTCTCATAATCATATGGTGGTTTTGGGACGTTAAACCTCACATATCTATCTATCTTGACAGAGTTGAGCACTGCGCATCCGCGCGGCTGAAAAGGACGCAGTGCTACGAAATAATCGCAGCAGATTATCGCTGATATGCAGTGACTTGCCGTGCAAAGAGACGGCGCTGTAATCGGCTTTCTCAAGTGCAGGTGAAGCTTTGAATGAAGGTACGTTCTAGAATACGGGGGTTAGTCGATGCATACAGCTAATGGAACATTATCACCTTGGAGCTCCACCTTTCTTTTAGGCTGCGTGAGCAAGCTAGAAGGGTAAAGGGAAATTCATATCTTCGTCACGAAATGCATAAATATTCTGCCACAGCGTGCTTTTAGATGCGGAGCATCTAATACTCGAGGCTTGTAGTGCGGCGCCGTCCGCAAGCTTCCTCCTCCTTCTTCAACCATCTGAGCATCCCTTCCCCCTCTACACACCGCGCGCGCTTCACTCCTCCACCATCTGTGCACCCTTCCTCCTCTACACACCGCGTGCGCTTCTCCTCTTCACGAACATTCGCTAGCTGTATAATGTAGCGCGCATGCGCCGTCACGCTTCGAGAACATCGGCAGCTGACGCGCGCGCATGCGCCGTCGCGCTTCGAGAACATTGGCAGCTGACGCGCGCGCATGCGCCGTTGCGCTTCTCCCCCTTCTCGAACATTCGACAGCTGACAGTGCATGCGCCGTCGCGCTGTATATATACTCAAGGTCGGTGCTCGCTCGCTCAGTTGCCGCTCGTCGGTTGGTTTGTATGGCGCGTCGACGTCCGAGGCCGCAATGAGCGACGTCCCTTCGACCAGCGCCGGCCAAAGTGTTGGCGGAACCGCAACCAAGTCGTCGTCCGAAGACAAGGCAGCGCGAAGAGCTCGCGACGCCGAACGTAAACGTCGGCGTCGAGCGGAAGATTCTCAACTTAGAGAACGTGAAGCTGCTGAGAGACATCAGCGTCGAGCAGCAGCACCGGATTCGGCCGCTTTGAAACGTAAGCGTCGACAAGAAGACCCGCACTTTCGAAAACGGGAAGCCGAGTGCAAGTGTCGGCGACGAGAGGCCGATCCCGATGCTGCCCGCGAGCGCAAGCGCGCCGAGGTAGCGGCGTGGCGCGCCAAGCAGTATGCCACGCCCAACGCTCGCTTCAAGCGCGACTTCCTCGACCGAAGCTTCGGCCACACCTGCAAGGTGTGTGATCGTCTTTGGTTCGATAACAACTTAACTCGGATCGGCAACATTCAGAACAACTCCAAAGCGTTGTTTAACACCCCTCCTACAACCACGTTAACCAATTTAGCCAGCGACCCAAGTAAGTCGCAATTTAACACCCCATTTCACAACCACGTTAACCAATTTAGCCATCGACCCAAGTAAGTCGCACTTTAACACCTTGTTAACCAATTATATGCTCCGCATCCTCCTCAGTGTTCCCCCGAGGGAAGCTGCGGGCAATTTTTTTACAGCGTTTATTGCGCAGAATGCTCTTTCTAGCACTTCACACTGCAGTTGGGCCTGTCGCCACTGAATATGCGTGACATGCAGCCTTTTTGTACTAACAAATAACGAAGAAAGCAAGTGGTCATGCAGGGTGTATACTGTAAGTTGCAATCTTTCGGAAATTTTGTATAATTGATCTTTCTATATTTATTATAGGTTTCTTGGACTGAATATACTGTAAAAGAAACCCTGGCTCCATTCATCTCGAAGAAATCAGTCATCTCAGCAGCTGAAGAAGATTGCGCCATGAGCAGTGAAGAGCCTAAATTTCGCAATGAGAAAAGTGTATCAACACTCACGTTGCAATAATCAAACCACTATTACATTACTTTGATACTTTGTTTTACAGTGGGTTGTAAATAGGTCTCCATAAATGGTACTACACTCACTTACGCTTCCTACGCGTTTGTTTTTTTTTGTTTTATATGTGTCATTTAATGCTAAACCTCTCAGTCATTTGCCCGATTAGCGAAAATTTTCTTGAAAGAAGTTGTGTCGATTTATTGAATTAAAACAATCAATGTCAAGTACGTTTTAGAGAAAAAAATGTGGTGACGTAGGAGATTTAGAAATTTTCCAAAATGCCATCAGAGCACTGTTTGTCAGACTTCTTGCAGTTTTTGTATAAAGGCAGATGTAAACCAATGAATTTAACTTTTCTTTCATTTCGACGTTACGTTCGGTTGCGCCTTACGCTAAAACACACTGCTTGGACTGCTGTGATGTGTTGCGTGTGTGCGTGCATGCATGCATGTGTGTGTGTGTGTGTGTGTGTGTGTGTGTGTGTGTTTGTGTGTGTGTGTGTGTGTTTTATGTGCCTGCCTCGTCCCCCATAGAAATTTTGGGCCTAATCTGCCTACACATATATACGCCGATGTTACGCAGCTCAGTCAAGACCACGGCACCTCATTTTATCAGCTGCATAAGTGCAGATATATTAATTGCAGTGGTGACACCAGTATCTGCTTTCTTCGCTCTCAGCTGCAGCGAAGAAGATTCATATATGTTTCTCCCTCGGAACAGTTGAGACTTGGACCAGTTGGTGATACATATTTTATGGAGTGGAGTGCCATGTACGGGACAACAGATGAGGAGGCGCACAGGACCAAGCGTTTTCTTCTGTGTGTTTTCGTTTTTGTTGTCACGTTAATTGAGCTTCGTTTGATCATTATGTTTATCCATGCAACTGCCATCGTTTTTATGTGTTACACCCCACTCGCATGAATGTAGCTGGATCTAACTCCCATAGTTTAGGGGTGTTCATAAACACTTTTAAAAATATGGTGTGACGTTTCCTTACAGCCTACATTTTAGGGTGTTTCTGAACACCTTATTGTTCAGGATTTTTTCCATGGGGCAGAAAAATAGACTCTGAAGAGTGTACGAATTCTTGCAAGGTATGGCAAAGATAGATTGAATAGTTAACGTAATCAATAAGACCGACGTATAAAGTAGCTGTCAAAAGAGTTGAGATTTGCATTTTTTTCTGCCGGATGGTATGCCTCCGTAACAATGTATTTCACCACGATTTATCAGCATGAATGATATTATCAAGATTGCTAACCTTGATTCCATCATGAAAAAAAACACTATGATTTCATCATGAGGCACGCTGTACATTGGGACTACGAAATAATTTCAGCCAACTGGGACTCCTTAACGTACACTTAAAGGAGCAGCGACGCTAACTGGACGTATATCGCGTTTTTTTTTTTGCGCTGACACGTAGTTATCAATCCCCTAGTAACAATTCAGTGCTAATAGCGCAATACAGGGACGAATGATTATATGTGATATCGATTATATTTGCCAACATTGAACCAAATTCAAAACAGCTCGCCAATTTTCAGCGCTGCCAAGAGGTCACTTCTCATGGTCACGCCCCACCTGATCACGTGGTCACATGAAATGATAACGTAAGTTTCAGTTGACATTTCATCATCTCGGCTCGCACGAGTACAGGAGATGTTATATAAATCTTCTGGTCACCCTCATTATGGCCGCTGTCATCAGCGTCTGCAAGTGAAAATGATAACACTGAGAAATGTCGAATCTCGGCGATTCGTGGTGATGCGAATAGCTTTTGGATCAAGTCTCTTCCATGCAGTGATTCTGAAATTGATGCTGGACCAAGCAGCCACGAGGCAGCCGGAGACGTAGGTTTGGGCCACGCTTGCATAAAAGTGGAATGTACAGGAAGTACATTTTACTTTTATGGGCCGCAAGAATAGTAGACCACGTGATACTATAGACTTCAAATTTTGCCATATGAACACGTACTTGACAGTCTAGTGCATCCACTTACCTTCCACTTACACTTGTGTCTTGCCACAGTGTTTCCCAAAAATACAGCACACTAAAGTTAGTGTGTTGTATAAATCAAGGAATGATTTTTCAAATTACCCTTCATTCGCAATATTGCCCATTATTGCTAGATTGATTGCATGATTGATTTGTGGGGTTTCACGTCCAAAAACCACCATATGTTTATGACAGACGCCGCAGTAGAGGGCTCTGGAAATTTCGACCACCTGGAGTTCTTTAACGTTCATCCAAATCTGAGCACACGGGCCTACAACATTTCCGCCTCAAAAGGAAATGCAGCCGCCGCAGCCGGGATTGCTAGAAGGTTTATTGCTAGAGGGCTCGAAAGGGTTGCGGTAAGCGAATTATATATTTTGCAGTAAATAAGCAATGTTTGCGCCAAAAAATTGCAATTTTCGACAAGGTTTATTAAGGAAACACCCTTTACTAGCACAAAAAAATCATTTTGAATTAATTAGAACAAACAAAAGTAACACTGCGTATAAATACTAATCTTTAAAGGCGTTTGACAGATTACACATCAAAGTACTCTTTGCACAATTAGTACATTATATTTTTCAAAGTGCAATTCTAAATCTTTTCAAATCTTACATAGGGCACAGAAGGCAATATGTAAGAATTAAAAATAAATGTTCTTTTCTATTAGAAATATTCACTGGTGTTCCGCAGGGGAGGCTGTTAGAGACTGTGTAATTACACATCTACGTAAACAGCATAGTGAGAGTTAGCGAGAACGCCGAATTTTCAGTTTACGCAGACGACACAAGCTTTCTCATTCAATTCGACGACGTGTTTTATCTTAGTATACTAGCTCAAGACACGCTATAAAAGCCACAAAAGTAGAGAGAATAAATTCACTGAATATTATTGCTGCTCTAAAAAGGCTGTTTCATTCAAACCAACAAATAAAACAATATATACTAGCATAGACATACACCTTGGTAACAAGAAGATTGAGATTGGGCAAGACGTTAATATTTTAGGCGTCACTTTCAGTGAAGACCTAAACTGATATTCCCATGTCAATATTGTAGCCAAAACTCTTGCCAAAGCATGTGGAGTGCTTTCAAGTTTTTAGGTATAGCCTTTAAAAGTTTAAATTTTATATCACTATTTCAAATGCACATCAAATACTGTACCTCGTCTGGGGAAACATTACGCAAAAAAAAAAACTAAAATTCATCAGGCTGCAGAAGAAGGCAATAACACATATTGCAAATGTTCTATACAACGTTCATAGAGCAACCTTACTCAAAACGTTTAGCGCGCTTCAACTTAAGCAGCTGTGCGAGCTCAATTTATTCAATAAATACAAGTACAGATTGACGAGCAAAAGCAATTTTCTCTCATTGTGTCAACTAAAAGAGTAATCGGGAACACCTTACAACATAAAGAAAAGAGAAACATGGCATATGCCGTTTTTGCGAATGACTTGTGGTCATAAAGGTTTGAAGCAAAGCATGCCAAACTTTCATAGTTACATAAACAACAGAGGTATTCTGGCTGACACACTGAGAAAAAACAGTGGAAAGAATATTTACTTAGCAACCCCTGACAGCATCTTTGAACACAGTCATTTATTGTTAAGTTCATCTTTTCTGTGTTTGTTATATAACCAGTTTCAATTTGGCATTTCATGCCCGGTTTTATTAGAAGTGAACTTGTCTTTTCATATCTATATGCAATAACATGAGATGTAATAAGTACTTATGTTTTCTGTTACGCGAAATATTTCTACGCAGTAATGTTTTTTTTTCTTTTTGTTACATATATTTGCGCTCATTTCTGTTCTTTCATTTCTTCTTCCGTGTGTAACTTTATTTTTTGATGTTTGCTGATTTTCGCATTGTATCTGTAGTTACAGTTTGTTCCGAAATTTGCTTATGTTTTGCTTGCTTGCATATTCCTTGCATGTAATTTGTATGTTTGTTTCCTTGTATTTCTTCTCTTCCACCTTACCACGTCTCTAAGGCCCAACTGTTTTAGTGTCAAGAATCTTGCCAAGCTGCTTTTTAGTAGATTTTGATTTCTGTCCTCGAATCCTTTTTCACTTTGTATTCTGATTGGCATGTTGTTCTGCCCATTCATATTGTATAAAAATATCAAATTATTCCAACTGTAACATTGCTCTTTGTCCGCTGCCGGTGTCTGTAACCACTATCGCACGAAAGAGCAAAAACACTAAATAAATATAGTGCAAGCGGTTACTCATCCCGGGTTCATACCCGGGTACCTTGCGTGCCACCCCAGTATTCTACCACTGATCCACGCCTGTGCTTTGGTCTAGTTTGCAAACTTGCCTTAGGGGCTTGATGTGGGGAAGGAAATCACGTTAATATGAGTTATAAAGTGTTTTAGAACCGCATAGGAACAACCAGGCGCCACACCACGCGAATAGCAAAACGAGTCGGCCATCCAGTGCTCCGACCCATTATAGCAGCTTGTTCTCGATCACCTACTAACTATGGCGCATACCCAGTTCAGGCATCGTCGTCAGCCACTGCATGAATAATGAGCGCAAAATTCCTTGCAAGTGTTAAGCAGATACAGAGCTTCTCTGAAGAATGACGAAGAATAGCCTTGCGAATGCCTGCCTACCACCCATACATTATGATTACTAATGGCGTAGTGGGTACCCAGCAAGTGTGCTTGTAGCAGGTACCCAAATAGAAAAGAAAGCTCTGAAAGGCCGCTCTTCCTGCTTGCGCTGTGACTGTGCTGTGCGTTCAGCGTAGCCCTGCGTCTTTTGTTTTTTTCTTTTTGTCTAGAGATCCGAAAAACATTTGTGTTATGCCACACACTACATTCGCATGCGGTTGTCCCCTTTCAACACGTTAGTTTGCAGGCGCAATTCCGACTCACACTGAAGGTTGTGTCTAGGTTTGTGTTTCCACAGTTATCGGTGAATTCAGCGTCACCTCTTCTATGTTGTGTGTCAGGGGTGTAGCCAAATTTCACCACTTCCCTCATCCGAAAGTGCTTAATTGTGCTTGCGTATACATACATGCAAATATAAAAATTCTCAGTCAGACATACACTATGTGTCCACCATGATGGGTCAGTAGCTACGGG